ACCTTGAATATATCATAAAATTCTCCTCATACTAATGACATTTATTGGGAATATGCTAGTATTAGATAGCCGTACTAACAGCATTTGATATATCGAATCTTATATCCACCATCACATACATCAAGGCTCCCACTACATTTACACATTGGGCACACCCCATCTGCCTTTTTTCATCACTTACACTTTGATACATTGATGCACTCGCTTTAAGAAGTGGTGCTAAATAAGTGCTTATAGGTTCAATCTTTTCATCGATATCAAACCTCTGGAGTACTTATGTTAGCAAGTCTTTAGTAAGCAGACTAAGCTTTTATCACCATCATGTGTGATCTGTTTCACAAGAATCTTTTTAGCTTTTCTAAGGTCCTTTATCTTAAAATATGAACTTACATAATTCCGAACTTTAAATCCCCACCTTCCTCTTAGAAGTTGTCATCATATCATATAGAAAGGTAGATATACAAATGTACTACCTTGCAGATTCTTGAGTGAACACAATGATCAAACCAGCAACATATGTATCTTTAATTCTTCATAAAACAATCAAATCACTTGTTTCACCAGCTTAGTGATTGTTTTAAAGTACGAAGTAACTTTCTCAATTTGTAAGCCCAAAAAATTTAAGTTCTTCTAATAAAATAATAATTCTTCAACTTCCAAATTACATGATGCAATAGAATCTTAAAATTATGTTGATCTAACTCAGAGATCAAACTGCACAACCATAACCAATAATATTTGAATTAACAAATGTTTAGCAATCGATTAAAAAAAAAAAATCATATCATAATCTAACCCTATCTTTTAAGCATGACCTTGCACCATTGATTTAGTTTTATGCCTACTATTGCCTTTGCTAGGAGCAACTTCTTTTTCTGAAAATACCAATTTGCAACCAATATGTTACTTATGTTTTGGAAAAAGAACCAACTCCCAAGTATAATTTTGATGGAGTCGCGTCTACTTAAATATTACCACCTTTTACTCATATTTTTCATTCTTTGTAAAGCTTCTTTGTAACTATATGAAATATCATCTCTAGTGACAAGAAGAGCGTACACTACATATCAACATGTCGAGCTAGTATCAAAATATTTTTCTTTGGCCTATTAATGGCCATAAATTCAACTTTTTTACGATCTCTAGTGTTGGTGATGCTTATGATTCCTCCACCTCAATCAAGATATTGTTTTTAGTATCAAATTAAACTTCAAAATGGTCATCAATATGTTCTAGATTTGTAGGAATCTTAAAATCGACTATCTTAAGAGAGTTAAGCTTTCTTTTGATACTCTTTCTCTAGATTTGTCTATTTCAACAACATAGACTCATCAAAGATAACATTGTGACTTACTAAAATCTTCTTCAACTCAAGATTTCATAGATGAAATGGCTTAATTTCATTGTTAAAACAAATGAAAACAATTTCATGGATTTGGGATCTAATTTTGATATTTTTTATATGACAATGTGAGACATATACAAAAAATCATAATCACAAATGGATTTTTTAGACCGTCCCTCCATCAAAGTATTTCAATCCAGTGACGCAAGAGCTTACCGCGGTGCTGCTACAGTACCGCGGAAATAGTTATCACGAGAGACACGTCGAAATAATCTTATTTTCCTTTCTTATGTTTTATTTCCTAATATCCTTCATTATTTTTTAAACATTTCATATATATATGAGTTATATTAGGGTTTGGAAGTCAATTTTTGGCATGAGTTTGTTTAGGACAGCCACCAGCGCCTATTTCGCCCTTCGATGGTTGTATTTGAGGGATTGGGTGGTGCTCTGGCTATATCTCTCTACCAATGTGGTGATTATCTTCCCCTATCCCCTTTGCATCCCTCCCACTTTGTTGCCTCGGATTCCCCCTCATTGCAGGAGCCCTAACAACAGTTCTTTTGTTGTTTTCTGAAGTTTCCTCACCATCAAATCCTTTTCCTCGTTGCCCCTGCCAGGACGGCCTTTCTTTGGCTATCTGGCAGCCCACCACATCCCCCAATGTCGTTCCATCCCTCCATCCTTGCTGCTATCGCTTCCAGACCACCGCCAACCTTGTTGACATCCTCCCAGCAGCCCACACAGCCTCCTCATCGACTGTCGCGCCCTTCCCAGCCTTCCTAGCAGCCTCCCCCGCCAGTTGACTGTTGTCGGCCAACTTCTGGACACGTCCTCGTTGCATCTACCGCCATTTCCACCCTTCCACCTTGCTTCCATCAACCAGGACAGCCCTCACGCATCGTCCTCTAGCTATCTACTTGTTGTTCAACCCCAAGGACACTCCTAGCCCTCACAGAGAGAAGAGAGAGAGAGATAAAAAGAGAGAGAGAGAGAGCAAGAAAAGAATTGGAGAAGTAAGAATTAGGAGGAGAAGTTGGAGGAGAAAGATTTTGTGTACGATGTCGACACAGTGCTCGTTAAGGAATAGAAGAAGAGAAGAAGAGGGAAGAGATGCGGCTCTGTTGAGAAGATAAGGGGAGCCTGTCGGGTTGAGACGCGTCATGGAGGAAGAAGAGAAGTGGAGATCTCGCAGTATCATGAGTGAAGTAGGGTTGCCGAGTCATGCAACAACGAAGAGGAAGGAAGGAGGATCTGCTTCGTGCGTTGCTACTGTGCTCGCATCTGGTGAAGGACGAGGTTGAAGGAAAGAGGAACTTCGAGCATGTGTAAGGTTAAGCTAGATAGTCAAAAACTTTTTAAAGTAAATTTAATGTTTTAATAAGTTAATATATTATCTTATGAAAAATTATATATATGTATGTTAAAATGTGTGGGTGTGTAACTGTGTTTAATGATAATATTAATTGAAGGTTTAATTTGATATCAGGGCTCTAACAAATAGTGAATTTAGATTTGAAGGTCTGTCAATGGAGATACAATGGTAGCATAATTACGAATGAAGCCTCCATAATAGCCAAATAAACCTAAGAAGTAATAATTTTTAAAGTTCAAGGAGATGATCATGATAAAATAACAATAATTTCAGATGGATCTGAAGCAAGACTATTGAGTGTAACAATATGTCCTAAATATTCAATTCAAGAGATAGAAAAAACACATTTTGAGAGCTTAGTGAAAAATTGATTTGGTCAAATGTAATCCAATACAAACTTCAAATGAATAGCATGATCAGGAAAATGCTTTCTATAGATAAGCATGTCATCAAAAAAGTTTAACATAAAATGGCAAATATGTCTTAAAGATTGCGTTCATAGTTTTTTGAAAAGTATATGAGGCATTGGATGGACCAAATGGCATAACAATGAACTCTAATGGTCATGGTAAGTGCAGAAAAAAAAATTTGGCAATGTCATCATCGTTCATATGCATCTGATGAAGTCCAGCATGTAAATCTAATTTAGAGTAGAAAGTGGCACAAAAAGTTTATCTAAAAGTCCGTCAATCGTAAATATAGGAAAACGGTGTATTATAGTAAGCTTATTTCAAGCCCAAAAATCTATGAAAAAAATGCAAAGTACCACCTAAAAGTTAGCTTGTGGATGCCCACCACCGACATTAGTTTCCAATGTATGTTGCACCTTTTATGTAGACACTATAGAGACAACCTTACAAATTCATAACAAAATTCTTTAGTAACTTTATCTCAATCTCTATGTCACACGCAATCGTATGAAACAACCCGCTGATAGAAAAAGACAAGACAAAATTTTTCAAGTAGGTAACCATATCCTAATTCGTTTACAGCATTATCGTCACGTCTCTGTTACACAGCAACAATTCTCCAAATCTTAAACGCTACTTTGGAACTTTTGTGATGCCTCGGCTAATTTACAATATTATTTATAAAGTAGATTTGTCATCAATCGCATGTATTCATCTAGTTTTCATATTTCATTATTAAATTCATATTATAAAATAGTTTATTTCATCATAACTTAGATGCAGTTAAAAGACAGTCGGTTGTCGAACCACTAGCAATTTTATAGCAACTCAATATATTATAAAAA